CTCCCCCGCTCTCTCTCTCTCTCTGGTACCGCCGTACTACATCCCTAGGGAGCACTCCCATGTGATTGTGGTGATGGTGTACATTAATCCGACGCTAAGGCAGTGGTGAAAAAAGTGTCACCACAGGTCAGGGTACTAAAGGTATGGACAGAGGAGGCAGTTGAGCAGCTGAGGGACTGTTTTCACACCACAGATTGGGACATCCTCTGCAGTCCTCATGGAGAGGACATAGACGGCTTCACACACTGTGTTTCGGATTACATAAACTTCTGTGTGGAAAATACCGTCCCATCCAGGAGAGTACGGTGTTTTCCTAACAACAAGCTGTGGGTGAGCCCCGAGTACTGCTAAATGAGAAGAAGAGGGCTTTCCTCTCAGGGGACAAGGAGGAGCTGAGCAGGGTGCAGCGGGAACTAAAGTACATGATCCGGAGGTGCAAGGCTAGCTACAGGAAGAAGCTGGAGCAGAGCATGGAGAATAACAACGTGTGTGAGGTGTGGAGAGGCCTGCTGTTTTTTAAATAGTTTTGACTCTCCCCAGTCCTCAGCCCCCACCCTGCCAGCCCCCACGACTTACTTCTCCAGGTCAGTTGTCTCCCTGCAGCCGCAGCTGCTCACACCTCAGCTAGACCTTGCCCTTCCCCCCACTGTCACGGGGGTTTCTCAACATCCCACAGCTCACGAGCAGTCACTGCCCACCAGCCCCCTCCGCCTCACGGTGGACCAGGTCAGGAAGGAGTTAAGGAGGATTAAGGCCAGGAAGGCCACAGGCTCTGACCACATCAGCCCCAGGGTCCTCAGGGAGTGTGCAGACCAGCTCAGTGGAGTGGACTTCAAGTACAACTCGGTGTGAGGAAAATCGACTGGTCCTGAACACCAGTAAGACTAAAGAGATGGTGACTGATCCCCCGGCGGAAATCACCAGCACTCACTCCAGTGAGCTTTCAGGGCTCAGTCACTGAGATTGTGGACACCTTTAAATACCTGGGGGTCCACCTCAACGACAAAATGGATTGGACTGAAAACACTGATGCCCTGTACAAGAAGGGCCAGAGCTGCCTCCACTTGTTGAGGAGACTGAGGTCCTTTGGTGTGCGGGGGGCACTCCTTCGGACTTTTTATGATACTGTAGTGGCATCTGATGTTTTTTACACCGTTGTGGGCTGGGTGGGAGGTACCGTGCCTTGCGAAAGTATTCGGCCCCCCTGCACTTTGCCA